GCACCCGGGGCCCTGGGGTGGGAGGGGCTGAGCTGATGCACCCTGGGGCTATGTGTCATGGATAAATCAAGGCAGACTGTGTGACTAGGCTGTAACAGGATACCAGGGCTTTCCAGAAGCTTTCTATCCCACATTCAACCCAGAATGTTCTGTGCCACATGTGTAGGTTGGGCATGGGGCCCCATTTATTCTTTCTAGACCTGTTTCCCCATCTGGCTTCTACACTTCTTACTCATTGGGTCCTGAAAACAGCTCAGCCTAAGAAATCAAAAAAATCAAAGGTAGCCCGTCTGGGCCACCAGGAGGCTCTAACAAGGGAGAAAGCTCTTTAGGTCACTGCTGGGGACCAGGACATGTGTCTATCCAGCCTTCTTCACGTTGCTTGATGCTACTGACTTCAGAACAGAATCTGACTGCTTGTGGGAAAGTCTCTGGGAGTTCCCCCACTAGTCACCCTAAATGGTGCACTGTGCCTCAGGACAGGCCCTCCATCCCTATGGGGAGAGCCAGGGCATTTACCTCGATGGTGAGGTTCTGCAGGTGGTAAAGGCTCTGCAGCCCTTGGGAAGTGAAGCACTCGATGCAGTTTGGACACCCCAGTCCTGTCAAAAAACTGCAGAGAGAGTTTGAGAACATAACATCAACTAGCTGTGTATTTGGGCCTCACAGGAGTGGCCCTGTGAGGAGGGAACTGTCTGTTACAATGGGCAATCCTGCTGGTCCCTCCCTCGGGGCAGGCGTGACCAGTCAGCAAGGTTGCTGACACAGTCCTGGCTCAAATGCCTTCCTTCCTTCCTTCCTTCCTTCCTTCCTTCCTTCCTTCCTTCCTTCCTTTCTTTTTTTTTTATTTTGTCATTTATTTTATTGGTTCCTACTTGTATGTGTATTTACTTTTATTTTTTTACAATCCAGTTGTTGTCCCTCTCCTGGTCCGCCCTCCCACAGTTCCTCATCCCATTCCTCTCCCCCTTGTCTCCAAGAGGATGTCCCCATGCCCCCAACCCCCTACTCCTGGCATATAACTCTCAAGTACCTTTCTTTCCAAGGTTCTTTCTCAGTACCTGCTGACGAGCCCTGATAGAACACGACCATCCTAGCCTGCTCTCCCTCATACCAGCCAAGCAATTAAAACACAGGGTCAGTCAGAGCCGCATGCAAGGCTGCCCCCTCCAGCAGGAACCGCACAGTTAATGGGAGGCGTGGGGCGCGGGGTGAAGCACAAGCCCAGGTCCAGCCGCATCCCACGCACCTGATGAGGCTGGGGTCTGCATGATAGGGGGGCGGCGGGGTGCAGTGGGATCCTGAAACCATGGTCTGGGAGCTGTGGCCTCCATTTATCTCGCCGTTGGCTGGCATGCTGTGGCTGTGACTGTTCAGCATCCCGGAGCCTGGGCAAAAGAACGGGTCCAGGAACCTGAAAACAAGCCCCTGAGAGCAAGCCCTGCACACAGTGGGGGGTGTCCCAGGCTGTGGTCGAGCCTGGCAGTGTGATACAGCATTGTAAGGGCTGTCTGAGGGGCTGTCTGAGCCCCTAGGAACAACCCTTTCCCCCAAGCGGACAGTGGCTGTGTGTGGGTCACGGAGTTTAGGTGATCCAGGGATTAGCAGCTGGCATATCGGTGTTACCAGGCTCCAGGGCCCTTTAAGCAAGACACACCTGGGGTTGTTGCTCAGTGTCAGGAGTGTGTTTGTCTGTATCCATTTAAAGACCTTTCAGATGTGACCCACACTCCACTCTGCCCAGCTCCCTACAGCTGCCCCTCAATGAGGTCTCATGTCCTGTAACCCTTGAGATGAGGCGATTTGATATTGCCATTTTGCTGATGGAGAAACAGGCTAACTGAAGCTAAAGATCTTCTTCAAGACCCCGTGGCTATCAAGACAGGACAGGCATGAGTTCTTAACTCTGCCACCTTTGCAACCCCCAGGCACAGAACCCCTGGGATTGGAAAGAACGTCCCCATAGCTATTGCCCTCCTGCAGGCTGGAGCTGCAGGGAGAGGAGGCCATCAAAGGTCTCCTTCAGTCCTGTTTGTGATTTCCGTAAATCCACCCAAGCCCTCCCTTGGGTCTCTATGGCCCACACGAGGCTTCCACTGCCCCAGAGACTCACCCATGGGCCCCAGGTTGGGCCCAGCTGCTGAGCTGTGCGGGGGAGGCTGTCCTACCAGCTGGTTGACAGAGGGCAGTTTGTTGACACCACCGTGTACCTTGTTCATTGGGGAGAGCACGGGCCCATAGGAGGGAGGCTGCAGGTGACTCCTGCTTGGAAAGCAACAGTGAGCATTCACAAGAGGTGAAAGCAACTCCTCCCCAACGTGGCACCTCTGTGGACACCCAGGATGCCGGTCGATGAAGACCCTGCCTCTCTGAGAGTTATGAAGAAAGCTAACAGGCACCTCTGTGGATACCCCAGGATGCGGGCTGATGAACACCCTGCCACTCAGAGAGTTATGAAGAAAGCTAACAGGCACCTCTGTGGACACCCCAGGATGCGAGCTGACGAAGACCTTGCCTCTCAGAGAGTTATGAAGAAAGCTAACACATCACCAGCTTCAGCAAATCCAGCCCCTCCAGCTCCTTCCCCCATCAACATTTCCAAGGCCCGTAAGTGGGAGACAGAGGTGTGCTGAACATGGGGACCCAGGATCCCAGGGCAGGCTAAGTCCCAGAAGGCTTCCTGGAGGAGAAGGTGCCAGCTGAGCTGTGTCAGTCCTACAGTCCAGTCTAGGGGACTATACCTCTTGTGCTCCTGGCCTTCTCCTGCTGGGTCAGCATAGCCCCACTTCCCCATACAGAAGTGGGGTTCACTCACGGCCTCTGCAGGAGCTGCTGCTGCTGCTGCTGTCGGTAGGAGTCGACCAAAGGCTGGGGTACAAGTTCCATCAGCTCCAGACTCTCCTTGACCTTCATCAAAATCTCAAAGTTCTCCCGGCCTCGCACCTGGGCACAGAGAGACAGAATCTCTGCTCGAGTGTCCGGGAGACTCCACTGGCTCCAAACGCCTGGCGGGACAGAGATGACTGAAGCCTCAGGAGGACCCCAGGCTGTGGCAAAGTGTTAATCTGCTCTTGGAGTTCCCCAGTACTCCAATGCTCAGGGTACCCTGGCTTTCCTCTTCCCAGAGGCAGGTCTAGGAAGTAGGTCCCTAGGGGTTCAGAGACCACGCCCATTCTTCCCTGCTAAGAGGCTCAACAGCTTTAGGTCTTAAAGGAGGGCTCACACTCAAGGAAATAGAAAGCATTCCTTCAGAGTGCACCGTGATCTTACCACTGGGATTGGTACCACAGACACAACGAATCATGGAGGCTATGTATACCCTATAGGATCATGGATTTAAACATAGGCTATGCCCTATAGGACCATGGAAACATGGGTTATACCCTATAAGACTATGGATTCCTACTGAAACTTCACCCTGGGGGGGTCTCCATTATAAAGGACGCCCTTGGGTCTCCTCGATACACAGCTAACCAGGCCAGCATGTCCACACTCAGTGAGTTCAGGGTCTAACTCTGAACAGAGCCTCCTTTGAACCCCACCTTCTTCAGGGCCACAGTCTCAATCCTCGGGTGACAGTATGCCACCCTTGCTCATCTCTTGTGATATCTGGACTTCCCCAGCCTGGGATCTTGGGTGATGGGAACACACAGGCCTATCCTCCCAGCCCACTCACATGCATGTAGAACATCATATGTCTACTCACATGCATGTAGAACACCATGTGTCCACTCACGTGCATGTAGAACACCATGAGCCCACTCACATGTCTGTAGAACACCATGCACCCACTCACATGCATGTAGAACATCACGCACCCACTCACATATGTGTACAACACCATATGCCCACTCACATGCATGTAGAACATCATGTGTCCACTCACATATGTGTACAACACCATGTGCCCACTCACATGCATGTAGAACATCATGAGCACACTCACATGCATGTAGAACATCATGTGCCCACTCATATGCATGTAGAACATCATGTGCCCACTCATATGCATGTAGAACATCATGTGTCCACTCACATGCATGTAGAACACCATGAGCCCACTCACATGTCTGTAGAACATCATGTGCCCACTCACATGCATGTAGAACATCATGCGCTCACTCACATGCGTGTAGAACATCATGCGCTCACTCACATGTGTGTAGAACATCATGTGCTCACTCACATGCGTGTAGAACATCATGCGCTCACTCACATGCATGTAGAACATCATGCACTCACTCACATGCGTGTAGAACATCATGCGCTCACTCACATGCGTGTAGAACATCATGCGCTCACTCACATGCGTGTAGAACATCATGCACTCACTCACATGCATGTAGAACGTGTCCTCGTCCCCATGACGTCTCTTTTTCACGTTGGTACCCAGGGCAGGGATGGCAGGGGGGCTCTGCTTGAATGCTGGAGGGCAGATCAGAAAAGACACATGAGCCAGAGAGCGAGGGCTGAGATGCCCAGGTGAACACCTGCCATGGGTGTGGTGTGAGCACAGGACACACCTAGGCCGGAAGGAGCTGGACCAGGCAAACACATGCTCCTAGCTTCAAAGCATAGACAAGTGAGGTGCCTTGGGTCACACTCGCCCTGTCTAGCAGGAGAGGCTTCCCGGCCTTGGACATTCAGACCCCTGGATCCATCCCCTGGATGAGGGTGTGCTTGGCACCCTCGGAGCAGGTAATCCTCACATCCAGTTGCATCCAACTCCACCTGCCACCCACGCCCTGTCCCAGCGCCCAACTCACCACGTTTGCTGGCAGCTCCATTCTTAGTGGTACTTTCATTCAGAGCCTGCTGCTCCCGGTAATGGTCTTCATCAGCTTTGCGGTCACGGCCGGGGCAGGCGCAGATGCGACCCTCGAAAGACCGCCGGCCCAGTACCTGTCCACTGTCGGGTGGGCACGGGGTGACTGTGAACTCAAGGGACCGCTCTTGACCCTGCCCACCTCCCGAAGACCCCTTGGGACTGGCTTTGAAGCTGAATGCCCGCCGAGGAGAGCAAGCCCTCTCTACGTCTGTGACATGCCCTTCCCCAACAGTGCTGGTCCAAGTCCCACCCGGCCCCACCTCTACCCTCCTTCCACGGCAGACTCACTCCCGGGTCTCCAGGGTGATGATGACGAGTATGGGTCTCCGATTCATGCCCCCGACGCAGCTGCTGTTACACATGAAGTTGTACAGGATGGTGGTGAATTCTGTTCCCACCTGTCCTCGGGGGAGGCAGGGAAAGGGCTTAGCATCTGCATGCAGGGCTTACCTTCTACAGAACGACTTGTAGCTGCCGCCTCTGGCCCTGATTCTGGGTAGGCATAGGGACCCTGCAGTATCCCTATACGGATATCTACCCATCTATCCACCCAACCACCCTGTCTTTGCACTCATCCATTCATCTCTCTGCATATCCACCTACCGTTCACCAAGCCGTCTACCCATCCATCCATCTGCTTACACACCTGTCTACACATCCACGTATCCTCCTACCCCACTCACTTGCCTGTCAACCTCTCACCCATTTACACACTCTTCCACACGCCTAATCACTCACCTATCCATATACCCACTTACACACCTGCTCACCACCAGTGGTGCCTGACTAACATCCACCCACTCACCCATTCGGTCATCTACACTCATTTGAGATTGCCTGCCCACCCACCGATCCATCTGTGCCTTCATAGCACTGAGCTGGCTCTGGAGTCAGAGAGCCCAGTCTTGGTTTCAGCTCTTTGGGGAAGTCCAGAATCTGTGGTGTGCTTGCCACGGTCATCTCCCATAACCCAGGCAAAGGTCAAATGTCGGGGCTGTATGTGAGTGGGTGTGCGTGGGCCTTTGTGGCATGTGTGTGCTGAGTACTGTGGACTCATCTGGGCAGAGGAACGAAAGGGACTCCAACCCCAGAATGGAGTTTCAAAGGTCTTGCTAGATCAGAGTACAAACGCCATAAACCCCAGCCTTTCCCAGAACTTACACCTGCCAGCCACTAGAGGGCAAGAGAATCCTACTTTGTCTGGAAGCCTGTGCTCATGAGGCTTCCTCTGAGGAGAGAGAGGATGCTCCTGTGTGTGTGTGTGTCTGTGTGTGTCTGTGTGTGTGTGTGTGTGT